CACTGTTAGAGAGCAGAATCCGAAAAAAGTTATCCGCGAATGGAGCAAATGGTTCGCATGTTTGCCGCAACTGTACCACTTGAACAAAGTAGGACGACATGTTCTCAGTAGTACACAACCATTTGTTTGCCGAAAGTCTTCAAAGAATTAAGAGTTTTTCTCAACTCTCAAAGGAAGATCATCCTCCACCACGACAATGCGAGGTCCCATACATCAGCTCAAACAAAAGAGTTTTTGAGCTTTACAGTTCCAACTTGACACACCCAATGTCTGCTTCTTGTTCCCAAATATTAAGAAAAAATACGTGGCGAGTGTTTTTCTATACCTGTTTATGCCGTTGGGATATTTAATTCCCTGGTTTCGAAGATACTTCATACTTCAAAGTGGCAAAACTGTTTCGAAAATTGGTTCAATCAAATTTAAAAATTTATTATTTATCATGAAGAATACTTCGAGAATTTTCATTGTTTTGCGCAAGACTTAAAAGGTAGCCCTCGTAATATACAAAACTAAGCAGGTGTTCATATTTAAGATATAGAAAATTTTGGTAATTAAATTGAAATATAATATAATAATAATAAAATAATATTATTCTATTTCTATTTATTATTCTATTTCATAAAAATATACACAAAATGTATAAATTTAAAATCGCAGAAAATTTTTAAATAAAGAAGATTTCATATGTATCTACCACATTACTCTAGAATTCTGGTATAAACTAATAGAGATTAATCAATTTAAGTACGACACCGAGTAGCAACATGGGTGAACTTGCTACTGAACTGCTATATTATTATTCTAAGGTTTCCAAAAAAAAAAAATAAACGATCTATATATAAAATAAAACGGAGTTACCTTATATCCCATCATTTCAACTCCAGTTTTATTTTTCCAATTTATCAGAATTCGATGTAATTTATTTTCCTCATTAATTAATTTCTTATTTCCATATTATAACTGCAACGAGTTGTTAATACAATGCTTGCAAATTTCCATAAATAATATTAATTTCTTAAGAAGGATAATGTGCGTACTCCTCCTTGACTGTTAACCACTGCTGAAGTAAAAAGGCAATAACTAGTAACCTTAGATTCAACTCATATACTTCACCAAGCATAGCAAGCGAATGCAGAAAGTGCATTAAGCGCATCAAGCGCAGTCAAGGAGCATAAAAAATACAGCTGATATCGTTTTAATGCTGCAAAAGGAAAATATTTGCATTTGGTTTATTGTACGCCTGAAAAGCTACTTTAAAATAATAAAGCATAAATTTATACACAAAGATAAAATGCAGATCTCTGCGTGTAATCCTCCTGTTTGGATGAGAACAAAACAAACTTAAGGACCAAAGAGACTTGTAAATATTAATTTATCAAAAGAAGTAATTTGTTACTAAATATAATTAATATTCTATATTAACTCACAATCAATAAAATAGAAATTATTTTGGGTATATATTAATGAAAACTCGCATCAGGTGCCTTGATAAGCTAAATCTGCTTGGCGAAACAAATCAAGTGTCAATTCTTTGGGTATCAGGACATACTGGCGTACGCGGAAACGAATACGCGGACAAATTAACCAGAAAAAGAGCAGCCACATCGATGATGGGACCGGAATCTTTTTGTGAACTAGGAAATAGTACGCTCCTTTCTCTCATAAAAATAAAGGAGAACCAGAGTAATCTAAATCAATTATTGGTACCTATAACAATAAGAAATACCAGGATTGTATAAACCTATCAAAAGAAAAACTTCGAATCATCACAGAAATTCTAACAGAGCACTGTAGACTAAAACACCACCTTACAAAACTGGGTATATTTACGGATGCAAAATGTATATTCTGTGAAGAAAATGACGAGTCGGCCACACATGTGCTGTTAGAATGGCCTACGCTTATGCACATACGAAATAGGCTCTTAGGAATGTATATTCTTACGGAAGAGGCAATAAAACTCTGTAAAATAGATTCTGTACTACTTTTTATTGAAGCAACAGGGCTTAAAGACCTACTCTAAGCCCAGAAGGGGGCACAAGAGACCCGACCATCACAGTGTATTAATGAAACTTCATTGATATTAGTTATTAAAACACATATGTGCCTATTATTCACTAGTCCGTTAGTTACTAAGTGATATTTTTAAATAACTTTTTAAACTCCTTGTCTTCACTTCATCCACATTGTTTCATTTCACTCCATAAAGTCTCTACTTTCAATTGAATTAAGTATGCAGCGGCACAAAGGGATTTTAAATGGACGAGTGCATCCACATACGCATTTTATGCATAAAACATCAAAGGACATACATATTTGCTTATTGCGCGTATGTGTACAAAGCTTAAAACTGGATTACAGTTTCATTAAAATTTACATATAAATGAGCTACGGCGCGAAATGAAAACGAACCGTTTGAACAGGACATCGTCCAGAAAAACGAAAATAAACAAAGGAATGGCTCATTCTCAGGCCAGGAATTGCAAAAATGCACTGTGGAAACGTTACTTTGTGTGTACACAACGGCATTTGCTCTCATTGCGAAAATTTCAGTTATTTTTTCATTAAATGAAAATTGTGGATTTGCCACATTTGGCGTTTATCAAAAAGCTTTATTAGCATTAAATGTTATTATTTGGATAATACACCAAACATTTTATTTAAGTGGACAACACAATGAACATTTAAATGTATTATTTACCATGCAAGAATATATAAATATCGCAACACTTTAAAATTATATTTAATATTAATATTCGAATTCATCCATATCTAGACAAGCGTCTGGAATCTTAAACTGAAAATAAGCATGAAAGGAAAACTCTTTTGACTCAAAAAATAAAATTAAAACAAAATCGTTAAAGAAATTAAACCCTATACCGAAAAACTAATTCCAGAACTATCTCTTTATATCAGTGGTTCCCAACCAGTGGTCCGCTAGACAGTTAAAATAGTCAGTAAATCAAAAGTAACAGGTATAGATACATAGCTTGTAGTTTGTTTACTGAGACCTCACTTATTAGGCCTATTATTATTAGACTATACCTATTTTATTGCCTATATAATGTACCTATGCAATTATACAATTCATTATTTAATTTACCAAAGATGCTTAAAGCATATTAAAATATTCATACAGTTTATTTTTCTTAAACTTTGTGGTCCCCATTAAAAACAAACATACCATTGTAGTCATTGATTAATAAAAGCTTAGGAACCACTGCTAGAAATAGAAATGGCACTGACAGAGATAGGTTATATATATTTTGACTTTAATAATGAAATTAAAAATAACCGACAATGAAAAAGAATTTCTGGAACTACATCTATAAATAGAAAAAGCATCGGCAGAAATACCAACTCCACTTAAAAATATGCATAAAAGTCAACAGTGTATCAAAAGTCAAAAATCTGCCTATAAATCATTTACAGGCATGATTTGAAGAAGTGAGCTCTAACACAAATGAAAAAATTAATACTGGAGTTTTTGGCTCTAACACCAGAAGCTTGCTCACACTGGCTATATGAGCTATTGACATTTAAGCAAAGGTAAACGCCATTCAATGTCCGCCTTCAACCTAAGCTCCCTGAGTGGTTGAAAGAAGCCCATATTTGTATATGCTCAGATAGTCAAGTAACAATCAAAGTATTATTTCCCTGAAACTCTTTCTTTTAAGATGTTTCGCAAGCTGATATCACACATTGCAGCTTTTGACAAGCATAAACTAAATATTACTTTGCTCAATTTTTAGTTACGACGAAATGAATACCGATAAATTCCCAGAATTTCCAACGACGAGTGTTGTTTTATGAACTGGAGCCTCATTATGAAATTGAAGATCCACGACTTTGTATACAAGTTTAAAGAAGTCGCTAATGTCATGATACCCCAAATAACCGCTAATACAAAAAACTATTGCATCGTCACAATTGAAAGTAGGCACCCATTTTTAATAGAATATAGTCTATATTGCTAACAAAAATACCTGGCTACACCTGTCAAACCAATTTAGTTAGATCGTTCTGCCTCAAGTGACGGAATGGTTTCTCTTTGAAAATTGTGATAAAACTTCTAGTCACATTCTGTGCAAATACTGGACTTTGAATCGAACCAGGTTTGAACCTTTAGTTTGAACTAGGTTTAAACCAGGTTTGCACTTTTGGTTTGAACCATTTTTGAACCTTTGACTATAACCAGATTCTAACCTTTGGTGAAAACCACTTTTGAACTTTTGGTTTGAACCACTTTTGAACCTTTGGTTTGAACTTTTGGTTTGAAATAGGCCGAGCACGAGCACTCCTTTTTATCTTTAATATTACGTAATATGGAATGAGAGACAGTCAAAGCTCTTATAGGCTTCTGCACAGGTACTGTAATTTACTAACACAAAAAAGTTTGTTTGAGAACCTTACTATGTTAGAAGTACACAAACCTGCTAAATTCTAATATATTTCAATATGTTAACACATTTAAGTCGAATATTTTATAAATTATTTAAAACCGGAGCAATTAGGATTTAATGTATTTGTATCTTAAACGTTTGTGTAAATTTACTTAAATTATTTTTTAAAGTTATACTTAAACGTTTTTTACTTATCTTCTTTTTTTATTATAGAAATATTGGTATGTAAAAACTAATTAAAAAAACTTTATATACTTGACTTTAATGACTAAAAACAATTTTTGTTCTATTCTTTATCCGAAATTTAAGTTATTTGAATATTGTTCGCAATAAAATACTACACTTCAAAGGCATTAAAGTATCCTTTTATGAAATCCACTTCATTCCAGATCTGCTGTACTACAAAGATACCAAAGATTACCTACACAAGCACGAAAAGTGAGAACTTTTTCAAATAATAAACATCAAAACAGAAAACATACCGATTATCCACTGCTCAAAGGAAAATTTTGCAATAAACACTACTGCATAACATAACACATTCTATAGGGATTTAACCATTTTAACCACAAACGAGTTGGTATCATTAGTTGGAAAATGGTACGTGCACGTCGAAGCATCTGGGACAACAATGACTACAATGAATATAAGCTCCAAAACAGCTACATTCAATCAAGCGATGAATCCGTTACATCTGGATCACTGACAGCTTCCACTGCATCCTTGTTAGGTCCACAACAATACAATTCATTATCACTAGCGAACAGTAACAAGCCCAGTACTTTAACGGAACCACCGCCACCGCAATACTCATACGCACTGCAAAAGCAAAATTACAAAAAAATATTACTACCCGGTGCAGCGAAACGGCTTAATCATGCAACTGCAGCTGTGATACAAGTGACACCATATGAGAAAACATCTGATGATAGGAACAGTGGCGGCATCAATGATGGTATGCTAAAGACAATCGGCTCACGCATACAGCACAGCATACGACGCATACGTCGACCACGTCAATGGCAGCAACCGACAAAATCAACGGAATCACATGATGCAAACGCTTTAACCGCTGTTTCCACAACAAGCTTCTATGAAAAAGGCAAAGCGTTCATTATTGAATTTTTGCATGATTCATCCATACATGGCTTCATTTATTTGGCAAAAATTGGATTAAATTTCATTGAAAGGTTAGTATAAACTTCATACCGTAAGCCAATGTACTTGCACTTTTATGCCACATTTTCAATAATTAAACATTTCCATTTCACTTGGCGGTGTTTAATTTATATATTCAGTTATTCAAAATACATATAGAACTCGTTTTATATACATTGTGACCGAAAGGTTTTCGGAGGTTCTCATTTAAAATTCGCGCGCTGTATATTTTTCGATATTTTAAGTTTATGTAGTTTGGCAGCACTGTCCTTAATTACTATGCCAAAAATGAGCGCGATCTGTCAGACAGTTCGTTTACGGCAGCTGTTGAAACCAGTTCACCTCAGTAGTGCGTTGCGAAAAAAACAATGGAAAAAAATATTGAACAAAGAGTTTGCATCAAATTTTGTTTTTCGAACGAAATTTCGTGTGCAGAATCGTTGCGAATGCTACAAAAGGCTTATGGGGAATCAGTTTTATCGAAAACTCAAGTTTATGAGTGGTACAAAGCCTTTCAGGACTGTCGTACGACCGTCGAAGACATGCCGCGTTCTGGACGACCTTCGACCTCTACCACCGACGAAAACATTGAAAAGGCAAAGGAAATCGTGTTCAAAAATCCTCATGTGAGTGTTAGAGAGATAGCACGAGAGCTAGGCATCGGTCGTGAGATGGCTCGTTTGATTTTGGTGGACAATTTGTGTATGCGACGTGTCAACGCCCGGCTTGTTCCGATTCACCTCAATTTGTTCAACATTATCAACGATTTTAAGGCCAAACATTCAATAAATACCATCGAACAGCCACCGTATTCACCTGATCTTGCACCGTGTGACTTTTTCCTGTTTCCCAACCTCAAATTACCACTCAGAGGAACGCGTTTTGAATCCATAGAAGACGTAAAACAGAATTCGCAGAGGGAACTCAAAGCCATACCGGAAAGCGCCTATAAAAAATGTTTTGATGATTGGAAGAAACGTTGGCATTTGTGTATCGCTTCTAATGGAGCATATTTTGAAGGAGATAAAATAAATATTGATGAAGATTAAGAATTTTGCGTTTTATTTATTGTGACCGGAAACTTTTCGGTCACAATGTAGAACTTATTCTAGATAAACAATATATTTAGATTTGAAATATTTTAAAACCAGTAAAACTAAAACGGAAACATGTATTACGAGTATATTCAATTCAATTCAAATTCTTCATATAGTTTACTCATTTCGGGTCAACCGATATACCTTCTGCTCAAATAGTACTCTGATTTTGTTAATAAAACACAAATTTAAATTTTATTCCAAATTTATTTTATCTCCTCCTAAATATGCTTCTTCTGAAGTGATACACATATGCCAACGCTTAACTCAATCTTCCATACACTTTTCGTAGGCCCGTGAAGGTATGGCTTTTAGTTCCTTCAGCGAATTCTCTTTTACCGATTCAATCGTTTCAAAACACTTTCCACGAAGGGGCAATTTGAGTTTCGGGAACAGAAAAAAGTCGCACGGTTCCAGATCTGGCGAATATGGTGCCTGAGTGTGACAGTGGTATAGTACTCTGATTTCTTCAATTCCAAGAGTATCTAGGAGCGCTTTCTTGAACTTAACGTATAGCCAAAAGTCATACGATCCAAAATTTGGTGCAAATGATAGGTTTTCAAATTATATGAATTGAATGAGTAATTGGTTTCGAAAAACCAATGCATTACACAATGGTACACTATTGTAATACAAAGACTGCTTGTCCTTAAATCGGTGTCCTTTTGCGAATAGCTTTGCATAAATGTTACGTAGAACCTAAATAATATTTATTATCAAAACTTCGGTCAGTGGAAGAAATTCATACTGAACCCCATAACATACATAAGAGATCAGAAAAGTATATATGTAATTATAAATTTTTTATTATTAATTATTCATAATTATTTTCATTAAAATTTATTTTTGAACTTTAAATTACTCACAGTGTTAATAACTTTGTTAAAAATAAAAATAATATTTATATATATAATTGCATCAACACTAAAACCCGAAGTCTTTATGGACTACTCAAAATACTCTTCTAGGAAGTAAAAAGCAGCGCAATTATTGTGCTTTCACTCTGCTTCTTTCTCCTAATTAGGAGTCTCCAATTTCACATAAAATAATTAAACTTTTAAAATATTTTTCTTTTACATTTTTATACGAAAACAAAAACTTGCTTGGAGATTATATCGTAACAACATGCACGGATGCATGGATGCAAGTGGATTCGTTGGCAGGAATGGCCGCAATAAACCTATTAACTTGAATGCAGCAAAGTACACTGTGCGTAGGTGCCGTTTCCATATCAACTACCAATTAAGTTAGGGTTATCATAAGCCACAGAGACAGATTTTCCGTACTTTTGTACACAGATTTTCTATTTTTCATTTATATTTCTTTTTTTTTATTTTTGTAAATTTTATCCTGATGATATTTTTGCTTTTTCGTCCTTTTTGGCAAAACTTTTAACATATTAACCCAAATCCCACTCGACTTTATGCAAATAAGTATTTTGCATAATGAAAAACAACTTTTTACATTTATGTATATTTTGCTTATATCATTTTTATTTTTTAAGTTATTTACTTTGGCGGATGTATCTGCAAAACCGAAATTAATATTAAATTTTTTGAAAATATTTTGATAAATTAAATTTGTTTTTTTTTTTAAATATTTTCACATTTGCAATTAACAAATTGCTTTGGCGGCAATGCATTGGGATAAATTATTTGTGTAAAAAACAATTTATATGATATATATATATGTATATATACATTTAGTGTGTCTACTATAATGTAGTAGTACTTATAGATTTGCGTATACCAATATATCTATTAAATTTTAAATTCAAATACAACAAAAAGTCATATATAAAATAAAATGCAATTCATTAAAGGATTGTTCGTTTCCATAACATTGATCCATTAAGATATCATTGATTCATTTAGTATATTAATAAAATAATATAAAGGCAACATAAAGCGTCGAGACATGCTTTATTGATATAATGTTGACTGATTGAAAGTTTGATTTACAGATAAATGCGCTACTAATCATATCATAGCTTGATTATAAAATAAATATTATCTTTTTAGCTAAACAAAATTTAAGGAAAATAAATAATTAAGAGTAGAAAACCTATATATTTATAGAAGGAGAAGCTCCAATAATAAAGTAAATGTTTGAAAAGAAATATTATATAAAAAGTTTTGAGAGAGGTCTCAAAAAATAGTGAACTCCAACAACAAAAATTCTTTTTTTTTTTTATTTTTTTTATATTATTTTAATTAATTTAATTTTTGGCTTATCATACAGCTTTTTTGAATATTACCAAAAACCCATTATCAGAGGTCTCGGAATTATTTCTTATATTTAATATTGTGTTTTTTATTTGCAAATAATTTTTTGAGACTGCAAGTACTAAGGGTTGAGCTCGTACCCTGCCAAATTTAAAGCACAGAGTCAGTGTTCATGAGTCAGAGTCATGTTCCACTTTCAAGTTTTGTTAATTTGCTGTGAAAATTCATTAACAAATTCACTTGTTGTGTTACATTAGAACATTAAAAGGAATTTGCAAACCATAAAATGTTGAAGTAAGAATATAATAGTATATGCAGAACCAAATACAACAAAAAAATGTATCATTTAATATATGTAACATATAAATATGACAAAGCAATGATTAAAATCGGTTGGTCATATTATAAGTATGCAGGATAACAAACCACAGAATAAAACTATTACCCACAAGTTATCAAAGAACAAAAGAAGAAGACGACACAGCAGATGGATTTAAGAATAGCGCGTCTTAGTATAGATGTTTGCAACTAAACAGAAAATGCAATAAATCTGTCAGAATTGGATGCTATCATGCCACAGGCTTAGGTCTTGTAAGGTGTATTACTCCATGGGTTACAATAATTCAGTAATTCTATTCTACACATGTACTTCTTTCAATTAGTTATGCAGTACTAAATACAATTAAGTAGCAATTTTTTGTCAGAGATTGGTCATTACATTTCATGGCATAAATTTATCAAAGTTGGTAGTTATCGTGTCACAGGCTTAGGTCTTTTCATAATTTTTACTCCATACCTGATGATATTGTAGTAATTCTACTCTAATAATTTCTCTTAGTTAGTAAAAGAGTACTATATACCATTCAGAAGTCATTTCTATTGCCAAAAATTTACCAACAAATATCCAAGAAGTCCAAGAATAAATAAATTTTGACATTAGTGATATAAATTTTTAATAGTCGAACATTTATGATTTTATTGGTTTTAGTTATAAATCAGAAACTAGTAAAATCTAGTTTTACCTATTGTGTAAATATTGATTCAAAATCTTGGATTGTGAAAAATTTTTTAGCTGTGGTCAATATTTTGGTAAATAAAAAACGTTAACTTTAACTATAGTGCTTTTCCATCGATTATGTGTGTCATATGTATTATATAGTCACCCGAAGTCTTAAAAAGTAAATTATAGCATAAGTAAATAGCATTTGTAGCAAGGCAAGTCTAGTTGCTATGAAATTTTAGGGTGATGTCTGAAAATTACTGCTCCCAACAGATTTAGATTCTGCTTATATGATGAATTATAGCAAATGGTAATGAAATAATGGTATTTAAAGAACTAAGAAATCTTTTTAGATGACTATTTCTGACTAGTCTAAAAGTTCTAAAGTTCTGTACTGTTAGCTACAGCAGAGCTAGTTATAACAAATTGTACGCCAGAATTTATGGAAATTGCAATTAAATATTTTTTTTTAATTATTTAACTTTGATTAAATAATTATAATTTATTAAATTAATTACTACTTATTAAATTAATTTTTAATTATTAAATTAAATTAATAATTTTTTATTATAATATTTTTTTAAAATATTTTAGCTTCAGTACTCTACTCTAAGTTGTTACCATGATCGAATATTCATTAATTAATAAATCAACTATTAATTATTAAATTTATTATTAATTATTAAATTAATTAAATAATTTCTTATTAT